TCTTGCGAGGAGCCACAGCAGCTTGCTCAGCTGCACACCATGTGGACAATAAACATCAATTTTTAAGTAATTCAGTACTGTTGGTAGCAGCTTTCACTTGGAAAGCCAAGCAAGGACTACTTCCAGAACCTCTATGATGGTGAAGGAAGTGGGGGACAGGCTTTGCTCCTTGGTGCTGCTCAACCGTCTTCAAAAGCTGCTGCTCTTTAGCTCCAGTTAGGGTGTGGGTATCTGAACATACTCATGTGGCTTTTTATGCACCTCTGTTACACGTCACATAATATAGCTGGAAATGTACCGCTACCTGAGGCCAATCTGGGAATGTTTCACTGTTGTAGGACAAATTAGAACTAAAACAAAGGCTGAATCTTGATTCTCTTCAAATTCTCTCCTCTGTTGGTTTTTTTTTTTTTCCGCATCTTACTCGATCCTTTCATCCATTGTTTTGGCTCCTAAAGGGTTGAGGTGGGGATCCCTCTGTTGATAAACCAGTAGGTATTTAAGGTACAGTAAACCATTTGCTTTTCCAATCTGTCCTGTGCCTTGACCCAAAAGCTTGTTCTCCTGCATTATTTATCCTCTCCACCTTGTAGCTTGTTATCCGTCCCCCTACTTATGCAATTCTTTTCTCCAGACAGACCATATTTAAAAGAAAGCAGCCTAATAGAGGAATTAACTGACATTGGCAGTCCAGCTGCAACTGTATGCATACCTGATCAGAGAGAGTTTTGCTCAAGTTCAAGAGATTTCTCAAATTGCACATATGGTACTGGCTCCTATCTAACCCTGAGCAGAATGAGATGGTCAAAGGACTGGATTCTTCACACCAATCTATATTTAAACATGTATGGAGCCCTAGGTTATGAGTGGACTATGATATACCTGTCTTCCAGCACAGGAGCGGGTACCTTTCCATCTATCAGTATCAATATTTATGCTGAGCTGTGATTATTGCACAGTGCTCCTGGCCCACTTTTATCCATGTTTATGGAGAAAATACAAGTAGGTCTTCTGGAAGATACTGGTTGGATCCCTAGTAAAACTTTCACTCAAGCTTTCTGCATGGGGAAGAAAAACTGCAATCTTGTTTCCAGAAGATACTTCAGAATTCCCAGTTACCATTGCAAGCTATGCAAATGCAATAGATAGAATGGGAACTGCAGCAAAATTGTGGAGAAAACACATTTCTTATGAACTATGCTGAATATTTTTTTTTTACTTAAAACAAGCTGTACCTCCTTTGTAAAACATGTTTAAAATAACTTGGGGGGGAATAACCTTTATTCAGTTTCAAAAGCAGGGGTATGAGTAGGGTCAGAAACAAGAGAATGATGTGACGGGAGCCATGCCAAGGGTTACAAAACCCTGCGGACAGCGATTCTTCCCTCTAGCCGAAAGATCAAGAGTCGCATTTCTGAACCCGAAGTGCCCAAGAAGCAGCTTGAACCCTCCGAGGGGCAGCAGCCCCCCCCTCTTCGCGCTCACCGGACGGGCAACGAGGGTCCGTACCGGGGCAACAGGAGCCGGGGGGGGGGGGGGGGGGCGGGCCCGGCGCGGGAGCCCTTTT